CTTTGTGTTTAGGAAGTGACTTCAATTTCACTCACTATTTTTATATAAATTTTATATACATTTATTTTCTAGATATTTTTTCCCACCCAAAATTGGCAAGCAAACATTCAATTTGCCTCTAATCAATATTTCCTGCGATTTAGTTTTTTGGAGTTGCCAAAAATAGCTCACAGATGTTCATGGTATGAACAGAAGTCTCTCTGGCTGACATCATCCTCCTACTCCTCCATCTCCCCATCCTGTGCCCAGTGTGGGGGTTCAACAGCAGCTGCCCCCAGTTACTTCCACTCACTCGGTCATGTGGTGGCATCTCATCCTTAGTGGCTCTACATGCCCCTAATTGCTGGTGCAATAATTCTCATCCCTGTTCTATCTTTCAGTCCCTTCCTCCTCTTGGACCAGCACCAGCTTTGAGCCAAGCCTCCCCCAGATTGCTCCCAAATCTTTGCATGCTTCACCTTCACAAGCAGCCCTGGGACTCATGTGGTTCTGTGTCCCCTTTCTGGGTGACACTGATGTCTCTCTACCTCAGAAGAGTTCATTTTTCCCTGTCACACCTCCTTGCTGGGAGACACCAAATTGAAGCTGTGTTTCCACCTGAGGGGAGATCTCATGGGTGTCTACAGCTTCCTCCCGAGGGGCAGCAGAGAGACAGCACTGTTGTCTTCTCTCTACAACCAGTGACAGCTCATGAGGGAATGGCCTGTAGCTGTGTCAGGGGAGGTTTAGGTAGGATATTAAGAAAAGGTTCTTCCCCCAGAAGGTGGCTGGGCACTGGAACAGCTCCCCAGCAAAGTGGTCATGGCCCCAAGCCTGACAGAGTTCAAGGAGTGTTTGGACAATGCTGTCAGACACTTGATGTGATTGTTGGAGTTGTCCTGGTCAGGGCCAGGAGTTGGACTTTATGATCCTTGTGGGTCCCTTTCAACTCAGAATATTCTGTGATTCTCTGATTCCAGCCAAGCACAGCTCATCTCAGCTCCACCACTCTTCCAACCTCTCCAAAACATCCCCCCAATTCTTCCAGCTGCCCTTACAGCACAGGACCAGTGAGCTCAGCACCATTCTGGACACACCAGCACAGACACCCCGGCACCACAGACAGGAGCAAGGGGGTCAGGAAAATGCATGTGTGCTTTATTCATGGATATGTTGGAATATTGACATGTACAGAAGAGATAAGTACAAGTTTTACCCCAGTATCCACCAGCACCCACCATCCTCCCCTTGTGCAGGCACACACATGGGATTATTGCTCCAGCACCAGTTCCCTGTCACCATGTCTCCCTCCCTGGTCATGCTCCTGCTTGGACAGTGAGGTACATGACATGACATCAACATGTGTTTGTACATATACAATATTTCATGGGCTCTCAGGGCTGCCAAACCACTGGGAACGGTGCTGAGCGGCCAACAAAACAGAGTTCAGTGGCTACAGAAAGTCTGGCTGGTTCTTTAATTATTACTTTTGTTATCCCATGACTCTTCTTTGTGCTTATGGAAGTCCCCAGGAATGGAGTAAATCCTAAAAAAATGTCTCCCTTTCTCTTTCTTAGCTTGCTCAGTCCTTTACCTGTACCAGCAGTTCCTATGACTTTGGTGGTTATTCAAGAGACTTAAAAATGAAGAGTTGTGGTCACTTCACAGAATTCAAGAGAGACGGAATTTCATCCCAAAAAATCACTGAAATTTCACAAGGGAAAACCAATGGCCTGTGCACATATGTGTTGGTGGATGGGAGGAATGTGACTGGGTTTCCTTCCTCCAAAAGCAAGGCTCTTGCCATCCTTTTTTGCAAAGTTTGACTTGTGAAAAGGCTTGGAAGGAGAATCAACATTAAATCTTGGTGGAAAGGATGAAATGAGAAGGAAAAACCCATGAAGGTTTGGGGATTATTGTTTTCCAATTCCTGCCCCTCTGGATCTTTCCTGCTGGGTGAGGAGCTCCTTGCTCTGTGTCTCACTCACTTCATTCTGAAATATCCCTGGACCACTGGGAACCCCTGGGAGGACAGGACCCGGCCTGGGACAGTGCTTGAAGGACACCACAATGGGAATTGGGGGTTTTATTGGCCTTGTGATGCATAGAAACAACTAATGTCCTAAGGCATCTTTGAAGCAAGATATCCCTGGCAGTGTTCCAGGCCAGGCTGGATGGGGCTTGGAGCAACCTGATCTAGTGGAAGGTGTCCCTGCCTATGGCAGGGGGTTTGAACTAGATGGTCCAACCCAAACCATTCCAGGGGAGATGATGATGCCTTTCAGTGAAATAGTTAAAAATCATTTCAGATAAACGTTCCAGAAAGTGTAAACAGATCATTAGTGCTGCTGTGGGACATGGGAATGGATGAGATGACCTCTGGAGGTCTCTTCCATCCCTTCTAATCTATGAGTAGGATTCTCCAATCTATTTTTCACAGCCTATCAGTCCAAAGGGAGAGGTGAAATTAGGTTTCCAGTCATCCTGACCACCTAGAAAAACTCCTCTGCCAGCTGAGAAGGAAATGGCAAAGTGGCACTTGAACATCACCAGAATTTAGTTATAAGAGACACAGGAGTGGAGCCATGAGAATGCAGGAGTGGGCACTCCTGGAAAGCAGCTGACACTTGCATCCCTATCCTGCACAGGGACTCAGCCCATGCATGACTAAAGGCTGTTTGAGATAGGCTTGCTAGGTCCAGATGTGGAAAACCAGGACATGACTACAGAGCTGGAAAGGAGCAGAAGAAAGCAATTCCCAGCATGACCTCATGATGCTGAGGCAGTTCCTTGCCTTTGAAGGGCTGAGCATCAGCATTTCATCCCTCTCTCACCTGTGACTCAGAGGATACAAGTTTTGCAGAGCTGCAGGTAACAGTTATGTCATTTGGTCACCCAGAGGACTCTGATGTCCTGGATACAGGCGAGAGAGGTTCACAGCAACTCCATGCATGGATATGGCACTTTGAAAGGACTTTCCTGCCTGTGGCACTCCCTCCCTGCCTGCCTTCCTGATCTGGGTGAGTCTCTTAGCCATGAAGTTCTCAGTTTCAGCTCAGGGTGTGACTTGTCACCCTACATACAAACTTTGGATCTTGGCATGGTCCTTTGCACAGTCTTGTATTAGGAAAACCAGATGCTACAGCCCTGAGGACCTCAAGGAGCAGAACTTTGGATAGGATGCAGCCAGAGGGATTTCTGTGCATGTCTGACAACTCCACAGGTGTTCAGCTGCAAACCAGAGTGGTTTCATGTTGGCCCAAAACCCAAGAAGTTGCTGCAGCTACTCAGCAGAATCCAAAGCGATAAACTATAGAAGGTATTTTGCAAGGAATGGGAATAAAAGCCACTGAATTTTGCTGTGTTAGATGCTGCTAAACCTTTCTATGTATCCAAATGCTAAGGAACTAATGATGTTCCTTGGAGGAGCACAAACAAAGGAATAAACAGGCTTCTACAAAGTCCAGAGAGAATCTGGGGCTATTCCTGTGCCTCCCGTGGTTGTCAACGTGGATAAGCATTTATCCTGGGAAACCTTCTCACCCTTCCTTACCATCTTCTTTCCTGGCTTGATGTAGTAAGGGGTTCATCTCCTCAAGAAGGCACTGAGACTCCTCAGCTCACCTTGAGGGAAGAGACCCTTGAATGCTCAGGAAGCCCAAGGTCACACATCTGCCTCCCTGTGTCCCAAGACACCAGAGAGATATTTGTCCTCATCTTCCTCCAGCTGGGCTCTGGATGCAGCTCAGTAGAAATGGTGACTCTACCAGCTTTTGCTTAAATGACCTCTTGGCTGAATAAATAGGACCTGGCAGGAAGCAATAACCTTCAGATGCTGACCTGGACACAAGTGGTTGCCTCTGTCAGTTGTTCAAGGAGGGGAAATCATAGCAATCCACTCCCTACCCATGACATGATTCATGACTTGGCCTTTCCACAAATTGGCTAGATATTGATGTCCTCAGGGTGGTATCTAGCAAACCTCACCTAGCCTATCTCTTCCTAGGAAAAACAATTAAATCCCCTGGGTGAAGACCCTTGGCCTCTCTGTGAGACCAGTGAATGCACAGGTAGCACGTGAGAGTAGGATGGGTTGGGCTCGCATCAAATCCTCCCTGTGGGCTCATACTTCATCCCAGACAAAGGTTATCTTGGAGTGGGACAACATTGACCTCTGGTTGGTTGAATGTGACAAAAAAATACCTACCCCAAACACTTTACAGGACCAGTGGATAGAGATGCTTGGGTTGGGACACCAAAAACCAGCCCTAAACAAAATACAACACACGTGTTTCTCCCTGAACACCATCAATACATGACACGTTTCCCTAAAAAGGAGGGCCCAAAGGTAGGTGACAGCTGGGAGATACATGCTGGTTGCACGCTGGACATGGTTTTAGGAGGGTGGGTAATCCCTACCAGCCGGTTCATAATGTGGGTACTTGCTCCAGTGAACAAAACCAAACATCTTCTCACCAGTGCTCTGTTTTCTTCAGTCTGAATGAACCAGCTGAGTTGTCCTTCAGGTCCTGAGCAATCCTGGAGACTGTCTGAACTCCACATCACTTGACACATCCTGTCAAGAAACCCCAGCATGAGTCCAGGCTTCAGGAAACCTCCTGACAGCTCATCCATCCATCCAAAGTCTTTCCCCTTTGGCTGGGGCAGGCGAAAGCATTTCCTTTGCAACTCTCATTTCTTGACTCATCTCTCCCCTTCTTTTCCAAGAGAATTGTCCGTGAATCTGACTCATTCCACAGAGAGCTGGAGAGACAACAACCAAGCTGTGGGGTAGAAAGGTGGCCAGGACCAAGAATGAGCTGGTTGTTGATGATGTTGATTGTATAAAATCAAATAAATTGGCAGAAGGCTGAGGAGGAGGAAGGGATGACCACATGCTCACCTCTCCTTCCAATCTCCTCCCTCTTCCCTGCCCTCCTCCCAGAAAAGTTACTGGTCTGGTTGTTTTGTAAAGAAACCAACACAAAGAGAGTCTCTGTCTGGCATACGCCTGTCCTGCTTCACATGGCGGAGAGGCTCAGCACAGAAAGAGTGAGGAGAAGCCACATCTGCAGCAGAGAGGCTGCCCAGGGGGATGGAGCTGCTGGGCTGGAGGTCCCTGAGGACAGACGAGTGGAGCCACGCAGGAGCCTCTCCTCCCCGGCCACCTGCAAGAGAGAGGAGGCAGCATGGGGTGAGAGGCATGGCTGATCACAGAATCATAGAATGGTTTCAGTTGGAAGGGACCTTGAAGATCATCTAGTTCCGACCCCCTGTCACGGGCAGGGACACTTTCCACTAGACCAGGTTGCTCCAAGCCCCATCCGACCTGGTCTTGAGCACTTCCAGGAGAAGCCATAGCTTCCCTAGACAACCTGTGCCAGTGCCTCATCACCCTCACAGGGAACAATTCCTTCCCAATATGCCACCTAATCCTGCCCTCTGGCAGTATGAAGTTATTTCTCATTTTCCTGTCACTCCAGGTCCTTGTAGTCTCTCTCTCTTCTTTCTGCTCCCTTCAGGCACTGGAAGGCTGCAATTAGTTCACCCCAAAGCCTTCTCTTTTCCAGCTGAACAATCCCAATTCTTTCAGCCTTTCCTCATAGGAGAGGTGCTCCATCCCTCTAATCAGCTTGGTGGCCTCCTTGGGCCCTCTGGGGATCTAGGGCTTGGGGACTGTGCAGCCCCAAGTGTGTGCATGTGCAGAGAGGCCAGGGAAAGTCTCAGCACCCAAACTCTAGTCTGGAGGTCAGCTCAGGTCTTTAGGAGACAGTGGTGAAGGTGGTGGTACAGCAGGGTCACCTCCTGGGCACAGCACTAATTTGGACACTGGTTGCAGGTGTCTTTGTGTGAGTTGGGTACCTGGGAGCCCATTGGGGTCAATGGAAATCCAAGCAGCTTATGGAGCCACTGCTGGCCAATGGCTTAACCTGGTAGCCTCAAAGGTAGAGATGTCCCATGGGTGTCAAATACACCTCCATGGGAGTGATCAACATTTCACCAACTTTGCTCCTCAGGTTCAGGAACACCAATCTCATTAAACATTCAACAGGATCTGGGTTTGAAGTTGAGTCCAAAGCAAAAACCCAACTCCCTGGTTTTCTCCTGCAGTGACAGCAAGGACTGTGCTCCAGCAGTACTCACACCTCAGCAGAGAATGTGTTGCTGCCACATGGAGGTTGGTGATGTGGTAGGGTCATCCCTCACTGCAGTTGCTTTTTCCAGCTTCTCACTGCTGGGGGGAATAATATTCTGGCCACAGATGAGGGAGGTTGACAGCTTCTCCATCACTTCCAGGATAAAGTTCTCAGGGCAAGCTCTGGACCTCAGGCCACTGCTTGGACTTCTCTGAGGTCTGGGGAGCACCAGCTAGAAGGAAATCCTCCAGATTTCCTGTGTGCAAAGTTTCTGGCTTGATGAAGATATCCCTGTGCTCTGCATGGCCACCAGTGCCCTGGAAAGGAGTGAGGGAAACTGAGGCACTTTTCTCCATCTCCCAACCTGCTGCTCTGTGAAATCAGAGTGTAGGAAGGAGAATCAAAAGTCTTCCCAGCAAAAGAAACATCAAAAAGGCTTCAAATAACCCATGTTTGGAAGCTCTCTGAAGGTATCAGCCAGCCCAGTGCAAAGCCCATGCTTGGTCCTTGGAGTCTAGTTAAACCTGACAGCTTGTGTTACCTGAATGTTCAGCAAATCAGGGACACTGTTAATTATTCAGTAGTAAAATAATTCAATCTGAAAATTACTCTGGTGGGTGGCAAGTCAAGGTCATTTCCTTGTATTTAAAAATAAAATATTTAGTGCCTACCACTGCCATCAGCAGTTAATGAATCTGTTATTTGTTTTAAAATAACTTCTGTATAATATCATTTTGCTAGTAACAATTTGCTGAGGAGTGGAACCTTTTCTGTGATATTTCCCAATGCTTAGCAAACTTTAGTTAAGCCTCTACATTATGATCTCCAGGATCCTCATCAAACAAGGGGGGAATCTGTATCCTAGGAAGCTGAAATGCTTGTCTGGAGCTGTGTGGCTGCACTGTAGGAGGATGAGGAGCCAAACTAGTGGTCTTGGATTCCCTTCTACACTCCTGAAAAGCCTATGGTTTTCCCAGTACTTCCTACAGAACCATAACTCTCTGTAATGCCGAGGGAAGGGAAGGGAAGGGAAGGGA